GAATGCTAATAGAAGGAGAGTGGCACAGTTGACGAAGCAGCATTTGAGTGTGAATTTGGCAAGCGTAATAGCACCATCCTGGGATGCGACCAAATGCACTCGCTCGGAAACGCTGCAGTGGTACCACTTCTCAGGAATCGAATCAGGCGCTTAGAAAATCCTCGCAAATTTGCATAATCAACAAAGGTCGGAACCAGCGGGCTGCAATCAGTGATCTTCCAAATTGGCGATGAAGAGGGATACAAGCAGCGAAGACGTCCTCGCGAATTACGAGCACATCCAGAAGATCGGCGAGGGAACGCATGGAGCTGTCTACAAGTTCTTGGACAAGCGCGCAGGAAAGTTCGTCGCAATGGAGAAGGTTCTCACATTGGACGACGATGAAGGAATCCCCGCGGCAGTGATCCGAGAGATCGGGCTGCTCAGAAATCTGGTCCATCCGGACATCAAGGCTCTGGGCGAGGTTGCTTTGGAGGCGTACCACTCATACTTGGTATTCGAGTACCTTCCGACCAATCTGAAGGATTATATCCGTTCGCTTCCTGATGGTCAGCTTATTGAACGGGACGTCCAGAAGCAGTACACGTATCAAATACTCCGGGCAACCTGTTTCTGCCACCGATTCGGCGCCTTGCACTGCAACCTGAAGCCGGAGAACATACTGCTGGACGGAAACGGGGCCCTTAAGAGTGCTGACTTCGGACTCGCGCAACGAGTCGACGGCGTCATGATCAAAATGTGCACACACGAACTCAAAGCGCACACACGCGAGCTCTGGTACCTGGCCCCTGAACTGCTCCTCGGCAGTGTCCGTTACTCACTGGGAGCGGACATCTGGAGTATCGGGTGCATCTTTGCCGAGCTGGCCACAAGAAAGCCGCTTTTCCAGGGCCGCTCGAGAGCGGAGCAGCTTTGAGCATTTTCAAGAAGCTGACAACGCCCACGGGACAAAACTGGCCGGGTGTAAGCAGGCTGCTGCGTACAGGGCCGAGTTTCCCCAGTGAACTAGCAGCATCATCGAGGGCGACCTCAAGGACTTCCTGAACGTTGATGGCCTTCGAATCCTGCAGCAGATGCTTGTCTACAATCCAGCAAAGCGAATTTCGGCGAAGGCTTTTCTGAAGGACAATAATTTCAACGGTGTGGACCGAAGCAAATTCCCCACCGGCAACTTCGATGGGACTTTCCGGTTGCCACAGCTCTGAGGAAGTACTGCAGTGCAGTTTCATCTTGTGATTCGAAAGTTCTTGTTCAAGATTCTTTTTGTAACGTTCACTTTTTATCCAGATGTCCAGCGTTGTTATGTCGTATGGTTAGTGAAATTGTAATTGTTAGCCAATGGTCAAAATTTCGTTCTCGAGATAAGTTGCTTGACTCATATCCACACACTCTGGTTAATCTTTTATTCTGCTGAATTTTTGTAGCATGTTGGTATCCGAATTTGTGACTGAGTTGCGAGTCGATTTTTGCTGTTTCAGAATTCGTTTGCGCGATAAATTTGGGATACCACTGACAAAATGCTTAGAGATTAAAATGATCCACAAAACATCATAGTTTCACGGGAAACTGCCTTTCTGCGATCCAAACCAACGTGATTTCGCCAAAAACCTTCACGGCAGTGATTACTTCGATGATTTGGTCGATTCCAGCAGACAGCTTCCAAACTTAACGGAATTTTTAGGCCCTCACCTTGTTCACTGCTTCGCCGCTTTCTCGCACATATTTTTTATTCAAATTTTAATTTTCATAGATAACTTAAAAATTTCTGCCTGAAAATATAAATCACTCAATATTAAACTTATTTTAAAATAATGGAGCTTTTAGTTTCAGTGGAATTGTGTGTAAGAGAGAGGGACTTTAAATAGAGGACGGAGAAGTTGCTAAACTGAATCAATAGAAAGAAACATAACGATGACAATTTTAGGTAACGAAAGTTGAAAGCTTATCAATTTTATTTGCTATGTTAGTTATTCACGTTCATGCGCCTAACCCCATATTAAAAGAAAGATTTTGACGTACTAGAAACGTGCAGTTTAAGAAAAAATGAGAGAGAGGGAGCATAGGCGGATCCAGGGCGGTCTCCTGCGGGGGGAGGCGACTTTTCACCTCCCCTTCTCCTTTCGCTACTACGCCCCCCCCCCCC